GGTGATGGGGCAAGACCCTGTCTCTTAAAAAAATAATTTGTCTAGGCCAGGCGCAGTGGCTCAAGCCTGTAATCCCAGCACTGTGGGAGGCCGAGGCGGGTGGATCACGAGGTCAAGAGATCGAGACCATCCTGGTCAACATGGTGAAACCCCGTCTCTACTAAAAATACAAAACATTAGCTGGGCATGGTGGTGCGTGCCTGTAATCCCAGCTACTCAGGAGGCTGAGGCAGGAGAATTGCCTGAACCCAGGAGGCGGAGGTTGCGGTGAGCCGAGATCGCGCCATTGCACTCTAGCCTGGGTAACATGAGTGAAACTCCGTCTCAAAAAAAATATATAAATAAATAATTTGTCTAGAAATTCTACATCTTAGAATTTATAGTATATAAAAATTGAGATACTCATGAAGATTTATTTCCAGATGTTTATTACAGAAGAGTTTTATATCAAAAAGCTAAAAACAGGGTCAGGCACAGTGGCTCACACCTGTAATCCCGGCACTTTGGGAGGCCAAGGCAGGTGGATCACCTGAGGTCAGGAGTTCAAGACCAGCCTGGCCAACATGGCGAAACCCCGTCTCTACCAAAAGTACAAAATTTAGCTGGGTGTGGTGGTGCATGTCTATAATCCCACCTACTTGGGAGGCTGAGGCAGGAGAATAGCTTGAGCCTGGAAGGTGGCAGTTGCAGTGAGCGGAGATCATGCCACTGTACTCTAGTCTGGGCAACAGAGCAAGAATGTCTCAAGAAAAAAAAAAAAAAATCCAAACATTAAAACCTAGAAACAGGCCAGGTGTGGTAGCTCATGCCTGTAATCCCAGCAGTTTGGGAGGCTAAGGTGGGTAGATCACTTGAAGTCAGGAGTTTGAGACTAGCCTCACCAACATGGCAAAACCCCATCTCTACTAAAAAATACAAAAAAATTAGCCAGGCATGGGGTATGTGCCTGTAGTCCTAGCTACTTGGGAGGCTAAGGTACGAGAATTGCTTGAACCTTGGAGGCAGAGGTTGCAGCAAGCTGATATCATGTCACTGCACTACAGCCCAGGCCAGGGCGACAGAGAAACTCCGTCTCCAAAAATAATAATAATAAAAGCTAGAAACAATGGAAATATTCAATACAGCAATTATTAAACATGGTACATATTTTCAAAATAAAATATTCTAAAAATATTTGAATACGTGGTATGTTTTAAAAGCCCAGCACTTGAAACTGTTGAGAATTATCTCAATGTTGTCACATACATATATACATATATATACATACATATATATATACATATATATACATACATATATATATATATATACATACATATATATATATATATATACACACACACACACATATATATATATGGCTACCTCACATATACGTAAATACTCCAGAGTAGGCTTATACTTTTTTTTGAGATGGTCTCACTCCAGTTGCCCAGGCTGTCCTCCCATCTCGGCCTCCTAAGTAGCTGGATTACAGGTGTGCACCACTAAAAATTGCCCAGCTAATTTTTTCTATTGTTAGTAGAGATGGGGTTTTGCCATGTTGCCCAGGCTGGTCTCAAGCTCATGGACTCAAGCAATCTGCCCACCTTGGCCTCCCCAAGTGCTGGGATTACATGCATGAGTCACCGTGCCTGGCCCATGATTTTTCATTTGCTTCTCTATCCACACACAGCATTTCTGGTATCAGGAAAACAATGGACATCATATAGGTTTTGAATATTGTTGGCTCTAACAAGTTAGTACAAGATGTTTAACCTTCCCTATTTGGTGTACACAATTCCTCTTCCCCTACTAGCCAATTGAGGATGGGCCAAGGATTGTGTTGGTGGGCAGATGTCACTTTACTGATCATGCCTCATTTCCCTTACCCTAACAGAAAATGAAGTACTAAATCGCTTTGCATTGTGATATCATACAAGACCAAAAAATGAGTGGTTTAGACTAGATCTCAAACATCTGTCAGCTTTGAATGTTAGCACAGATTCTTAAGAGTGGTGATGGAATAAAACTTTGTGATCTTCTGTTTGCTGATACGTTAATTTGTGAGAAAGAAACCACTGAGAGCTGTCATAACTTTACATACTCATTTAACTGTCACAAAAATGCTATGTTAGTAATCTTCCACTTTATAGATGATGAAACTAAGGCAGAAAGACTTTGCTAAGTTAGTGAATTGCAGAACCAGATTCAAGTTGAAGCAGCCTACTTCTGGAATGCATGTTTCTGATTACTGTCTCATGCTGCTCACTGCAGTTGTGTCTGGGGTGTTCCAAATATTCTGTCTCCCATGGTCTTCATCAACCATTAACATATCTGAAAAAGTCCAGCATTTACCTATTTAACTTACATTTCCCCTATGCCTCCTATACCCAGAAACAGCCACAATATCTTGGCTCACCATTTTTGTCTATATTTTAGGCCCAGATATTATAACCATTTGGCTAGCTTCACTTATAAAGCTGAAGCCTTGCTAAGGTTACCTGCAAGTGTTTTTCAAGACTGGGTGTGGGCCAGCAAATCCGTAGGAAAAGTGCTAGTGTAAGGTAGGACCAAAGGATACCTTTGCCTTCACTCAAAGCTGAGCAGAGATTTGGTTGCCAGATACTGTTTTTCCTACTCTTAATGTCCTGCTGCTGATTAGCGAGGCCTTTCTGTGTTGCTGCTCTGCAGTTATTTCAAGCAAGAAGTCATTCCTAATTATTACCACAGCAGGCAGAGTCTGGGGAAATAGCCAAGGAAACAGGAATGACACTTGCTTGAGGACAGCAAGGGCCTAGTTCCTTCTAAGAACCTCAAATAGGTACTGAGGGTCATTGCAGTATGGAGGAATGCATTGAGGCAGGGCAAGGACCAAAGAAATGTTGGGGAACTTCAGGCCCCACAGCCTTGGCTTTAGGCTGAATGAACACCATGCTTAACAGGCTCTGCCTCCATTTCACACCTCATCCAGGCTAATATTAGCAGTGGCAGCAGCAGTAACATTTTTTATATTTTACAAAGTGCTTTAATTTGTACTACTTCATTTTGATCTTCACAACAATCCTGTGAAGCAGATTATCCACATTTTGCAGATAAGAGGTTCAGAGAAGTCCAGAGTATATTGACAGAGCTGGGACCTGACTTTCTACTGCCCCTGAGATGACATAGGGATCATCTTAAATTAGAAACTTTGGGGTCTGGTACCTGTCTTTGTCCCATTATGCCTTTCTAGATTAGGTAGCAATTAATTCCTAACCTCTGATGTACATCAGAATCACGTGGGGATGGTTCAAACAATAGAGATGCCTGGACCTTACCTCAGATATAACAGAATCACCAAGTCTGGGTGTCTGGGGAAAAAAGCACCACAGGGAATTCTGATGTGCACTAAAGGCTGAAAGTCACTTGCATTCAGAGTTATACTAAACACATCAGAATAGTCCAATGAATCGCTTCTCGGCCTTTTGGCTAAGATCAAGTGCAGAATAGTCTGATGGGATTTCCTATCCCTCAAATAACTGTTGCCTTGGAAGAAACAAATCAAGATATGGTTCCTGCTTTCTAAGAATTTCTAATCTGGCTGGTATAATATGTACAGGCAAAGAGACTCAACACCTTGAGACAGTGTACTGGCATCTTAGTCTTGAGTAGTCAGAGTGTCACAGGAGTCCCAACAAGAGACAGTTTCAAATGACATGTTTCTAAGTCCTTTCAGGAAGTCTAGTCCAGCAATGGACTACATTTCTACATTTCTGGTAGATATAGGAAAGGACATAGGCACGTTTGGGTCTGTGGGTGACCACTTTGGCTACAGCAAAGCATTCTCATAAGCAAGATGTGGGAAATAAAGCTTCTTGGGCAGAGGCTATAGGGTGGAAGGCCAGTAGGGAGACATCAGGTGTTTTATTTTTTCTTTTTTTGAGACAGAGTTTCGCTCTCATTACCCAGGCTGGAGTGCAATGGCACGATCTCGGCTCACCGCAGCCTCCGCCTCCTGGGTTCAGGCAATTCTCCTGCCTCAGCCTCCTGAGTAGCTGGGATTACAGGCACGTGCCACCATGCCCAGCTGATTTTTTGTATTTTTTTTTAGTAGAGACGGGGTTTCACCATGTTGGCCAGGATGGTCTCGATCTCTTGACCTTGTGATCCACCCGCCTCAGCCTCCCAAAGTGCTGGGATTATAGGCCCGACCCGACATCAGGTGTTCTAAAGCAGTATGATGTAATCAAAGTAGTGTTTAACAAAGATGAATCCAGCCAGCCTGCACAAAGTAGTCTGGGATAGGGAACAGGGAGAGCAATCAGGATGCTAATGAAGTAATCAGGTGTGAGGTGATAGGGGGCTGGTGGAAGTAAGAATCAAAAGTTGGTATGGGGGGCCAAGCACAGTGGCTCACACCTGTAATCCCAGCACTTTGGGAGGCCGAGGCAGGTAGACCACTTGAGGTCTGAAATTTGAGACCAGCCTGGCCAACGTGGTGAAACCCACCTCTACTAAACAAAAATTACAAAAATTAGCTGGGTGTGGTGGCGGGTGCCTGTAATCCCAGCTTTTCCAGAGAATGAGGCAGGAGAATCACTTGAACCTGGGAGGCAGAGGTTGCAGTGAGCCGAGATCACATCACTGCACTCCAGCCTTGGCTACAAAGTGAGACTCTGTCTTAAAAAAAAAAAAAAGAAAGAAAACAAAATTGGGATAAGGTTCTAGAAACAAACACAGAAGAACTTACAGGGGTGAGTATTTCAGTTGAGATGCTATAGTAAAATCATGGTCTCTGGAACCAGATTTCCTGGGTTCAAATGAGCCAACCATTTACCTGTGTGACCACGGATGATATCCTCTTTGCATCTCGGTTTTACCTGTGAAATAGGGCTAGTAATACATACCTCAGAGATGTGAAGATTAAATGAATTTGTTTAGAGTGTTGCCTGACTCAGTAATTTGCTATTCGAAGAGGGGGAAATTCAGACAGTTTCATGGATATATCACTGGTGTCTGGCATGTTTTCTGCTTTCCAGAGTGTGACCTGTTGGCGAGCTAAGTTTATGGAGGCCTTTTTTTCCCATGTTCTACGTGGGACCATTGATGTGTCTTCTGACAGGCGTCTTTGTGATCAGCGCTTCTCACCTCTTCTGCACAGCTCCCGCCATGTCCGACAGCTCACCATCTGTAACATGCTGCAGGGTGCAACCGAGCTGGTAGCTGAGCCCAACCGCAGAGTTCTGGAGACACTGGCCAGCTCCCTGCACACTCTCAAGTTCCGCCACCTGCTGTTCTCTGATGTGGCTGCGCAGCAGTCACTTCGGCAGCTGTTGCATCAGCTCATTCACCATGGGGCCGTCAGTCAAGTGTCACTATACTCCTGGCCTGTGCCTGAGTCAGCCCTTTTCATCCTTATTCTCACCATGAGTGCTGGCTTCTGGCAACCAGGGCCTGGTGGCCCACCCTGCCGCCTCTGTGGAGAGGCCTCTCGAGGCCGGGCCCCATCCCGAGATGAAGGGTCCCTCTTATTGGGCTCACGCCGGCCTCGCCGGGATGCCGCTGAGCGATGTGCTGCAGCCTTGATGGCCAGCCGGCGTAAGAGTGAAGCCAAGCAGATGCCCAGAGCTGCACCTGCCACTCGGGTAACACGCCGGAGCGCACAGGAGAGCCTGATAGCAGGCGGAACAGACCTTAAGAGGGAGCTGCACCCGCCAGCCACCTCCCATGAGGCTCCTGGCACCAAGCGGCCACCCCCTGCTCCAGCAGCCACCTCCTCTGCCTCTTCTTCTACATCCTCATACAAACGGGCACCAGCTAGCTCAGCCCCACAGCCTAAGCCCCTAAAGCGTTTCAAACGAGCTGCAGGGAAGAAGGGTGCTCGTGCCCGTCAGGGGCCTGGTACAGAGTCTGAAGACCTGTATGACTTTGTTTTTATTGTGGCTGGTGAGAAGGAGGATGGTGAAGAGATGGAGATTGGGGAAGTGGCTTGTGGAGCTCTGGATGGATCAGATCCCAGCTGCCTGGGGCTTCCAGCACTGGAAGCTTCACAACGATTCCGCAGCATCTCCACCTTGGAGCTATTCACAGTTCCACTTTCCACAGAGGCAGCCCTGACACTATGCCACCTGCTGAGCTCCTGGGTGTCACTGGAGAGCCTCACACTCTCCTACAATGGTGAGCATCCTGGAGTGGCAGGGATTGGGTTTGGATTCCCCAGCAGCACTAGCTCCGTGCCTAATTCTGGGGAGGTGGGAGGAACAAATTGGGTGTATGATCAGGAAGCTGGAGAGGTGGACTTGTATGCCTCACAGAAAGGGAGACTGTCAGTGCTGCAAGAGAGGAACATAGTCTATAGGCTTGATTAATTGTTGAGAGCAGGGGTTCCTGAGGGGGCAATGAGACCAGCCAGCTGGAATCTGAAGAATGAATACAGTTTAGTTACAGAAGGCAATCCAAGGGCAGGTGGGAGAAGTATAGTACATGCATGCCCAGGCAGGGCTAGAGTTTGACCTCACCACCTTACCAGTCATATCAGAGCAGCTGTCCAGACTGGGTGTGGGACACAATTTATCAGACCAACAACCTGAAAGCAATCCTCAGTCCCCATTTCCCTCCTACTTGTGCCCAGCTAGGAAAACCTCAACTCTGGCTAAATCCAGCAATCTGCCTAGGTTGCTGAGTACTGCTAGAGAAAAATCATACAACTATGCAAATTAGTGTTACTATACATTCATGATCATTAACCTCATATGAACCCTCACTATGCTTGTAACATCAGCTCCCATTCCTACCACTTCCAAACCCTTCCTCCTTTTCCCTTCTCAGGGATGACCTCACCTACTTCACAGAGAAAATAGAAGCCATCACATGAGTTTCTTCAGCTTGCTAAGCAGCCTATAAACTCTCCTTCAACTGCACTCATCCTTCTTCACCAGAATGGAAGAGATCACCATCCTTTCTAAGGCTAATTCTCCCACCTGTGCTCTAGATGCATAGAGCTTCACAATGAAGTATATAAGAATTATCAGTTTGAGAAACAAGCATCCCAATTTCTTAGGGAAGCTTGCTTCTCAAACTGATAATTTTTATATACTGCTTAGTATGTGTCTGGTATATTTTAACGATTCTTGATAATTCAATCTAATAATTTAATCCTTAAAACCCTATGAGGGCAAGTGATTTCCTCAGGGTAACCTAGCAATTATACAGCCAGGATTCAAACCAGGCAACCAGACTGCAGATCCATGCTTTCAAACCACTGTTTATACTACCCCTCCTTTCCACTCTCTCCTACCATCATTTTTTTTTTTTTTTCCTACCATCATTTTAACAGGTCTCCACCAAAAACTGCCACCACCACCTCCCTATGTGGCATATTAACAAACTGCTCTATTATCTCCTGTTCTTTACAACCTTAGTCATCTGTACTGTTTCCATTTGTCTCACAGCCCCTTCCAGCCTCATACTCCTACCACTGCACTGGCAAGGACCTAGGTCACCAAGGTCCTCCTTGTTACTCAGTCCAATGTGTACTTTTCAGTAACTCTTCTTGGCAGCATTTAGTGCTATGAAATTTTCTTTTTTTCACAACCTTAAAAAATATTTTCTTTGGCTGGGCGCAGTGGCTCACACTTGTAATCCCAGCACTTGGCCAAGGCGGTTGGATCACGAGGTCAGGAATTCAAGACCAGCCTGGCCAAGATGGTGACACCCCGTCTCTGCTAAAAATACAAAAAATTAGCCAGGCGTGATGGCGAGCACCTGTAATCCCAGCTACTTGGGTGGCTAAGGCAGAGAATTGCTTGAACCCGGGAGGTGGAGTTTGCAGTGAACTGAGATCATGCCACTGCACTGTAGCCTGGGCAACAGAGTGAGACTCCATCTCAAAAAAAAAAAAAGTTTTCTCCTTCTGCTTATTCAGAGTTCCTCAGAGCTTTCGCACTTCATGCATTCTTGCTGGACAGTTTCATCAATTTCTGTGGTTTCAAAGGTCAACTATGCTAAAGACTTATGTGACATTACCCCAGATCTTTCTCTTGAACTTCCAGACTAATTTATCCAGCTAATAGACATAACCACTTCATAACCCATAAGCCCCCCCGACAACTCATTACATCCAACTTGAATGCACCTTCACACTATACTAATCCTTCTGTTCCCAGTGACATCAGCTTACTCACTTGCCCAAAGAAACCTGTATTCTGTCTTACTCCATACATGTGCTCATGAGGTCCTATCTTTATGTTTTCTTTTTTTTTCCTTTTTTGAGACAAAGTGTTGCTGTCACCCAGGCTGGAGTCCAGTGGTGCGATCTCAGTTCACTGCAACCTCTACCTTCTGGGTTCAAGCAATTCTCATGCCTCAGCCACTCAACCACCCAGAACTACAGGCATGCACCACCACACCACGCTAGTTTTTTTGTATTTTTAGGAGGCACAGGGTTTCCCTGTGTTGGCTGGGCTGGTCTCCAACTTCTGGCCTCAAGTGGCCTGCCCACCTCAGCCTCCTAGTGCTGAGATAAGTCATAAGCTACTACACCCAGCCCTATCTTTACAACTTGTTAAATCCATTTATTTCTCTATCTCCACGTCCTTAATTCAAACTATTATTCCCTACCTGAACTCATTTCAGCAGTTCTTCCAGACTGCTTACTCTTGCCATACAATCCACTGTCTGCACTGCAGCCCGTGTATTCTTTGAAAAATGTGGTCTGACCCTGTCATTCATTCATGCAAACACCTTTCAATGGCTTCCTCTCACCATACTGCTTAATATTACTTATGGGTCATTCATGTTCTCACTCCTGGTTACCTCTATAGTTGTCTTTGACATGGAGTCTTATTCTGTCACCTAGGCTGGAGTGTGATGGCGAGATCTCAGCTCCGTGCAACCTCCCCCTCCTGGGTACTGCCTCAGTAGCTGGGATTACAGGCGCACACCACCATGCCTAGCTAATGTTTGTATTTTTATTAGAGACAGGGTTACACCATATTGGCCAGGCTGGTCTCAAGCTTCTGACCTCAGATGATCCGCCTACCTCAGCCTCCCAAAGTGCTGGGATTACAGGTGTGAGCCACCACGTCTGGCCTATAGTTGTATTTTGAATCCTTCCCTCTTCACACTTTCACACCAGCCATTATGAAATTTTTTTGTTCTCCCTCAGGCCTCTACATATGCCAGGTTTCCTCTGCCACAATCATCCGTCCTAAATTTTAGCCTGTCTCCTTTATGTTCTTTAGGACTCAGCTGGAGTGCCTTTACTAATGTAATCTGGACTAGGTACCCATCCTTTGCATTATCGAGCTAAAAAAAAAACCAGTGTGCTGCTCACTAGTGTCTAGCAAAAAACGATATTTAGTAGGCACTGGGTAGTTTAGCTGAATGAGTGAATCAATAGGAGCCTGCATAGTCCAAGGAATTATTTGCCTGTGGCATTAAGCAACTACTCTAACCTTCCTGGATCCTAGACCATCCTGTGGGATTTGGTTATCTTTTTCTGCCCCATTCCCACCCATTAATTATTTTAAAGTATTCCCTATTGGGTCATTGTCATTCCCCATAGTTTTTAGGCTCTCTATGGCCTATAGGAAGTTAAAACATCCCGCCGCCTTTCCATAATGTGGCCTTCAACGCCCTGTCCTCTAGAGCTGTTTCCTGAGCCCCACATAGCCAGACAAGCAAGCATCCCATTCAGGCCTTGCACTCTCCTAGCTACAACTTTTTTTTTTTTTTTTTTTTGAGACAGAGTCTTTCTGTATCACCCAGGCTGGAGTACAGTGGCGTGATCTTGGCTCACTGCAACCTCCGTCTCCTGGGTTCAAGTGATTCTTCTGCCTCAGCCTCCTGAGTAGCTGGGACTACAGGCGTGTGCCATCATACCCAGTTAATTTTTGTATTTTTAGTAGAGACAGGGTTTCACCATGTTGGCCAGGCTGGTCTCAAACTCCTGGCCTCAGGTAATCTGCCCACCTTGGCCTGCCAAAGTGCTGGGATTACAGGTGTGAGCCCCCACTCCCAGCTCACTGTGACTCTTGACTATGTCTTCTCCCTCTATCCAAAACTTACTTCCTTCAGGGCCAGTTTCTTCAGAAAACTACTCAGAACCCAGAAATCCAGAGACCTGCTACTGTCTGGGCCTGTCATTCAGCTGGTAGCCACATGCTGCCTCACCATACTGTTATCTTCTAAATTTTGTGTCTCTGCCCTGACTGATGCTTCTTGTGGGCATAGCACAAAACAGCAGACATCAGTTTGCTGGTTACCTAAGAAAAAAGCAAGACATAGATGAGTAGTTAAGACAAATGGGTTTAAATAAGCTGAGCCAAAGCCCAAGAGATTTGATAGTAACCAAAAGTGGAGTTGTATTTGAATATATTACCCCTGCTGACACTCCCACATGGTTCTGATTTAATCTCTTTACTGCCATAGGCCTGGGCTCTAATATCTTCCGCCTGCTGGACAGTCTGCGGGCCCTGTCAGGCCAGTCTGGATGTCGCCTCCGTGCCCTGCATCTCAGTGACCTGTTCTCACCACTGCCCATCCTGGAGCTGACGCGTGCCATCGTACGAGCACTGCCCCTGCTACGGGTCCTCTCTATTCGTGTTGACCACCCAAGCCAGCGGGACAATCCTGGTGTGCCAGGGAATGCAGGGCCCCCTAGCCACATAATAGGGGATGAGGAGATACCAGGTGAAGCACTGTGTGTGTGTGTGTATGCATGCGCATGTATATCCCTACACAAACGTGCAGGTGCATTCGTACAGGGAAAGGGGAAGGACCGTACCAGTTGAAGCACTGTGTGTGTGTGCACGTGCGCGCATGTGCATGTGCATGTGCATCCCTACACAAACGTGCAGGTGCATTTGTACGGGGAAAGGGGAAGGACCTCCTCTACCACGCATTCCTGGCTTATCTGGAAACTGTTCCCCCTTTAGAGCCTGCCACTAAGATACTGTTGGGCTAGACAGGGAGGGCCTAGACCACCATAAGATCAGTAGAGTGACCAAGGCAGCCTGGTTTCCAGAAAAGGAAAAGAACTGACCTTTAGACTGGATTACTTCCCCTGCTCTATGTTCCCTTAGTTCTTGTGTCCCCACTCCCACCACTCTGCATACTTTGCTTGTGTCTGAGTAGCCTGTCTTCCTGGTCTAAAAGTTCAAGGGCAAGGACTAAATCTCATTATTTAGTGCTGAATTCCCAGAATCTAGCACAGTGCCCGACATACGGTAGGCACTCAAGGACAAATGAATGAATAAATAATTTTTGAGATGAATCCCTTAAGAATAGCATGGGACTTGCTATGGGAGTGAGGTAGAAATGGCCAGCTGGAATCTTCTTTCCCCACCATATCCAGAAAACTGCCTGGAGCAGTTGGAGATGGGATTTCCACGGGGAGCCCAGCCAGCTCCACTGCTCTGCTCCGTACTGAAGGCCTCGGGTTCTCTGCAGCAGCTGTCCCTGGATAGTGCCACCTTTGCCTCTCCCCAGGATTTTGGGCTTGTTTTGCAAACACTCAAAGGTAGGACCCAGCCAGAATGGTGAAGGGAGAGGAGGAGTAGGTGGGGACCTAACATTATTCTCTGGGAAAACTAAAGTCCATGGTCCATGGTCTCTGCCTCCTATCCAGAGTACAACCTAGCCCTGAAAAGACTGAGTTTCCATGACATGAATCTGGCTGACTGTCAGAGCGAGGTGCTCTTTTTGCTACAGAATCTGACTCTGCAAGGTAAGTTCTTCATCCAGAACGCAGACATTTCCTGGGTCTTCACTGTGGTTCTGCCATCATCTGAATGAGCAAACGACTGTTCGTTTCATGGCCTGTGTCCTCAACTATAAAATATAGAAACTGCATGACTTTCCTTCTAAAAGCCCCAACGTCAACTCCTCCTCTACTAAACATGAGAAATTGCTCTTTTAGAGTACCTCATCCAAGTTTCTCTTACCTTTCAGAGGTGGACAAAATGGTGAGGGGGGCAAAATAAATGTACTAGGCCAGGCTCTCACAGACTTTTCTCTGACCCCCACCCCTGCATAGAGGGTGGTCAGTGACCAGCAAAGAAGGAAATAAATGGAGAATTGTCTATGCAGAGAACCTCCTTATAGTGAACATTTAGGTTCAGTCTTTGGTTTGGATTCTGATTTAGTTCCAGCCTTGCTTGAGTCCTAGACAAATTCCTTTCTCTTTTTGGGCCTCCGTAATGTTCATACCCCTTGCTAGGGCCAACTGGGGCAGGAGGGGCAGCACCAGTCCCAATGTGGCCATCAGAATTTACTATAATTTTTCTTGACAGAGATTACCTTCTCCTTCTGCCGTCTGTTTGAGAAGCGCCCAGCCCAATTTCTGCCTGAGATGGTTGCTGCTATGAAGGGCAACTCCACACTGAAGGGCCTCCGGCTGCCAGGGAACCGCCTGGGTGGGAGCCGGACCCTGGGGAGGGAGAGGGGAAAGGGGCCAGGCTTTTGACCTAAAAACCCAATGGATAAAGACAAAGACCTCCCCACTGGGAACGCGGGAGTTGGAATACAGATATTTCTGTGCTGGAGCTTCAGGAACCAGCAGGGCTGGGCTTCTCCCCAAAGTTGGGTTGGGATACCCTTGTTCCCTGTTCTTGGGTGGAGGTGACAGGCACTTCTCCCCTTCTCTACAGGGAACGCTGGCCTGCTGGCCCTGGCAGATGTTTTCTCAGAGGATTCATCCTCCTCTCTCTGTCAGCTGGACATCAGGTACATGAGGGGAGGGGTAAGACAAGGGATGGGGCTACAGAGATACAGACCAGGAATTTGCTGCTTCCTGGATTTCTAATCCATCTCACCCTACCAGTTCCAACTGCATCAAGCCTGATGGGCTTCTGGAGTTCGCCAAGCGGCTGGAGCGCTGGGGCCGTGGAGCCTTTGGTCACCTGCGCCTCTTCCAGAACTGGCTGGACCAGGATGCAGTCACAGCCAGGGAAGCTATCCGGCGGCTCCGGGCTACCTGCCATGTGGTTAGCGACTCATGGGACTCATCCCAGGCCTTCGCAGATTATGTTAGCACCATGTGACGGGGCCCGTACCTCACAGGCTCATGCTCGGTACCATCAGCTTGCAGGGGCTGAAGCATGGGCTGCCCAGATCCCGAGCACCAGTTCTGTATTTCTCTTTCTGTCACCCTTTTTCTCTTTTTTTCTGTCTTCCCTTGCACTGAGGTCCTGGAGGCCTTGATGAGGCCCAGCCAAGAGGCATTCTCACAGCTGAGTTTAGAGCCTTTGGGCCCCTTACTCAGTATCCTGGGAACCCTGGGCCAGGAGGTTACAGTGGTCATCATCATTGCTGAAGAAATCCATTCCCCTGACCCTGGGTTCCTGCTTTCCCTCCTCATGCAGGCACCCAGGCTTTAGAGAAGTATAAGGGGCCTCTTCCCTGCTGGGCTTATCACACTGCTCTCAGGCCTCAAACCCTTTCATACCTTTATTCTTTTTTTTTTAACCAAAAAAAGTTTTTCTTATAAAATAAATTTTGGGCAAACATCATGCAGCCCTTCTTGATGATTTTCTCCCAGAGAACAAAATTCAACAGGGCCCTTTGGGGCAAGGAGCCCCTTTTCCCTATCTCCTTCCTCTAAGAGCTACACCCAGACCAGCTGGTTATCAGCGGAGCCCCTGTTGCTCCTCATGAGAACGCTGGTGGAAGACGAAGGTGATGGCAGTGGAGGCAGCATCCCACGCAGCCTGGAGTACCTCATCCTGGAGCCCCCGCTTATCAGTGCAGTGGTTCCACTGAGCTAGGTCTGAAGTGCAGTCAGAACCATCAGGGGGTGGCCGAATCTGGCGGCTGTTGACACAGCGTCGGCAGTGCAACCTAGGGGCAGAAGACACAGCTGAAGTCATTACAGATCCCATCTCCCTGCTGTGTGGGTAGCTTAGTAATGGTTCCCTACCTGTCATGTGTGTCACTGAGGCTAGCTTCATCCAAGATAAATAGCTCCTTCAACTCGCCCAGAGAGAAGTGGCGCTCTACGTCCTGCTCCTCATCCACCACGCAGCTGCTCAGTGCCTTCTTGTGGCTCTGACGCTGGAAGATCTTCTCCTCAATGGTGCCTGCCTGGGGAAGAGGGGGTGGGGAATATCGAGGGATACTGCGCTTAGCCATAAAAAGTGTACAGTAAAACTAAGGGGTTGAAACTACAGCTACCCAAGAGAAGGGGAGATAAATAAAAAGTATGAGTCCTGGAACATTATCTCTACCCAGCTGAGGCCCATTTTCCCAGTCTGTCTTCTGAGAACATGACATACGAATGGTCTGCCCACCCACGCTATTTTCTGTATTAATGATGGGTCCCAGGGCCTGGCTAAATCCCTTCAGGGTAAATTGAGGTTTGTCTGCTGCAGCTTCAGATTTCCATACCAAGCCCAACTCTTAATTCATTCAATTAATACCATTTGGGTATCTTCTCTGCCAGACCTTATGCTGACATTAGGATACAAAGAAGAATCATATATATCCCCTATCCTTGAGCTCCCAGAATAGTGAGAAAGATACATTTAAACAGTTGATACAATGATAGAAATCTGTACAGGATAACTAGGAGCCCATAAGGATGGTAGAGTAGAACAGTCTTGAAAACTTGAAACTCCATCCTTGAGCGCAATGTTGAAAATGAATAGATGGTTTGTAAGAAAAGACATAAGGGAAGGCATCCCCAGCACAGGAACGAAGGAATACTACTGGCCTACTGGAGGACTGTGAGGAGTTCAGACTAACTAGAAGTTGGTGGGAATATGGTAAGAGCTGAGACTGAGCAATCAGCAGAGGTCACATTAAAAAACCTTGGATGCCATGCTGAAGGCCTTGGTCTTGTCTTTGAAGTGATGAAAAGTAAAATCAAAATTTTTGGAAAGCTCCTCTGGAAGCAGTATGTGAATGATGGGTTGGGATAAGACAGAAGTAAACAATTAGGAAGCTGCTGCAATATCCAAGTGACAGATGACCATGACCTCAGGAGGGCATGAAAAGCAGGGTTAGATTAAGTAAATTTCAAGAATTTAAAAATCAGTGAAAACTGGTGGGAATTTGGTTGTTAGGAGAAAAGAACAGTCCAGTAAGATTATTCCCAGTTTTAGGTTTGGTGGATAGTGGAGCCAGGTGTGGTGGCTCATGCCTTTAATCCCAGCACTTGGGAAGACCAAAATGGGAGGATCGCTTGAGTCCAGATGTTCAAGATCAGCCTAGGCAACATAACAGAACTCCGTCTCTACAAAAAATAAAAAAAGTATCCAGGTATGGAGGCACACATCTGTAGCCCCAGCTATTCAGGGGGCTGAGGTGGGAGCTTGAAGCTGCAGTGAGCCGTGATCATGCCTCTGTACTCCAGCTTAGGTAACAGAACGAAACTGTCTCAATCAATCAGAAGGGGAATGAGTTTAGTCATGATGCTTCTGAAGTGCCCATTAGAAATCTAAGTGAAAATGTAGATTAAGTGATAGAAATAGAGGTTTAGAGCTCAGGTAAGAGATCTGGGTTAAAATTTTATAGTTAGAGATTTGCCAGTATAAAAAGTGTGTACACTCAGAGGTGGAAGAATCGAAGTAGAGTTTCCAAAGACAAGAGAAAAAAAATTTTTTTTTTTTTTTGAGACAGGATCCTGTTCTGTCACCCAGGCTAGAGTGGCACAATCCTAACTCACTACAGCCTTGAACTCCTGGCTTCAAGTGATCCTCCTGCACCCGTCATAGAAGAGCATTTTAAGGGATTATTAGTCAACAGTGTGAGATACACAAAGGAAACGTCAATAGTCTCCTGTTTTGGCAATTAGGAAGTCAGTAGTATATTTGAAGGTAGGTTCAGTGGTATAAGAAGTCTGACAAATGAGCAGAAAGAAGGTAGGAAATTTGAGAGAAACGGTAGATGTTGAAATGGTCAAAGGAAATGAAATATGGCCACCTCAAAAAAGACAACATGAATTTATGGTAGTACCAACCTGTAAAAGCAATGTAGCAGGTGTAGAAGCTGAAAACAGCTCAAATAATCCAACTGGAACAGGTACTGGGAAAAGAGTAGCTGAAAGGATGCACAGTAAGGGCTGGGCTAAATAAAGAAGGAAGTCAAGCCAGATGAGTGGGAGAGTCGGAAGGGGAGAGACTGCAGGAATATTAGGCTGAAGCAGATACAGCAGGTATGTGGAAACTAGGAGGACAAGAAGTCAGAGTAGAATGACAGTTATTAAAGTTTTGGGTACTAACAAGTTCCACAGTGTGACCTTAGGAATAATTAGATGCAGAGGAGTTGAGATGAGGTCAGGGAAATATGAAGGTCAGAGTGCTGGATAACCACATGGTCCTTGACATCAGCCAGTATGATTGCTGGATTTGGGAAAGGAATGAAGGCTGAGCTGGTGTCCAAAGTCATCAATGAATTAGGAATATAGCAGAGGATAGAGAATTGCAGCAAGGAAGAAAAGAGGGTAGTCAAGTTCAACGATATAAGCTTAAAGAGAGGAACTGTGGGATGGATGGTCTGAAGTAGATAATTGATAACTTGGAGAATGCAAATAGGACAGGGGATGAGAGAAGACTACAAGGCCAGTGACACAGCAGAAATCAGGTATGACGGAAGCAGGTATGCTGTGAAAAGGATGTACTGAACACGTGTCCAGATGGCACAGTAAGAATGATTTGAGGGAATGGGGTGCAGAGAAGGGGAGGGAGAACAGAAGAATAAAAGATTCACTTCTGGGCCCATCGCTTGGCTACTGCTAGAGGCAGAAAGGCCAAAGAGAGGCACTAAGAAACAAGATGGTCCTGAAGGTCTTGTTCCATGACCCACCCCTACTATGACTACTATCACTATCCTTACAGACAGTAGGCGGTAGATATAGCAAGTCTTCTTTTGACCGTCTCGCCAGACCCGGGCCATGGCTTGTTCATCATTGGCTGGGTTCCAGTCAGGGTCAAACATGACCAGCCGGTTAGCCCCAATGAGATTGAGGCCACAGCCCCCAGCTTTGCTGCTCAGCATGAAGACAAAGTCAGGGCTCTGGAAAGAGAGGAAACAGGAGAAAAGGAACCTCTTATAGCCTAAACTGGGATCCTGCTCAGCCCAACCAACTCCTCTCAATGCCTCTATACTACTCAGTACCAGTTGTGAAAACCACCAGTTTGTCTGCTCACCAGCCAATTTCCGAACCCACAAAGTCAGTTTCCAGCCCAGCCCATCACCAACCAGCCAAACCCTACTATATCCACTGGGGGACAGCGGGGCGGGGGGTGGGGTGCGGAGTCAAGGTAACCCCCTATAGCTTCTCTATCAATCCTTAATTCTGATGATACTGCATCGGTGATGTGGGGACAGGTGATGTGCATTTACCGATGGACTATTGAAGCGTTCTACAACCTTGGCTCGCTTCTTAATGGACATCGTGCCATCCAGGCGGACATATAAGTACCTGAAGGGGGATCCGAGACCCAAGAAAATAAAGCTTCAGTGATTAGGGGGAAAAAAAATTTTAAATGAAAAATTTTTTTAAAAGACCCAAGAAGAAAGCAGAGCCCCTTGGAGCCAGAGCTACTATAGGGACTGCTTGAGGCTCTAAACTCCCAAAGGCAGGGACAGGGAACTAGAGACAAGGAATGTGTCCTAAAGGAATACCTGAGGGACTCAGGGATCTTGTACTTGGAGAGAGATCTGGGGCCATCGCAGCAATAAGGGAAGATATCTTCAGGGAAATCCTTATGTGCCCACATCTTGGCCCACATCCACAAATCAGAACTAGAGGTGAAGTAGGGGAGGGGTACATCCCCCTTTGGCATCCTGGTTAGACTCTTCCCTACCTTCGGGCCCGGCACAGCTTCTCAAAGAGATCCAAAGTCTGGGTGTAATTCGACACCAGCACTACTTTGTCACTGCTTCGGCTTCGGGTCACCGCCAGAATATAATCCAGGACCAGCATCTTACCTGGGAAGAACAGCAACCAACAGTCCCCTACTGGCTATTGCAATGGCCCACAGTTCTTACTCTTGATATCCTGCCTTGAAACAGGACAGTCCTAGCACAAAGACAATCTCCTACCCTTCACCTAGAGAAGCCCAAATACTGGTAGGTAAAGGGTCACCTGACAGCTGGGGCTCCAGGGCCTTAGAGCTGTAACCAGGAGGAAAGAGGTCCAAGGCACCCTCAAAGCCATCCTCCTCTTCCACACACTTATCATAGATTAGAGCTGGATCTGGGGGAAAACAAAAGAAAATCCAGTTACTTTGCTTTCTGAAGTTTCGACTTCAGTGTTCACTAGAGCTCCCTCTAGAAGCCTGCCCCAGAAAGCCTTCCTCAACATCAGACTTGTTTGATCTTCATCCTACCAAATTCCAACAGGATACAGTCAGTGCCATCTGGGATGATGGATGGACAGACACTAGTATGTTCTCCCAACAAGAAGGGAGCTATAACAGAGCAGGCAAGGTTTGTTATTTTTCCTCCTGCCCAACATTGTATATGAGCATGTGTACATGCAAGCACTCACAAACACAGTTGACATATC